TGCAGTGAGATTTCATAACCTATCATCGACTGGAAGTGAAGTTATTGCGTTTTAAGTGTCAGTATGTTAGTGTTATCGGTGCGAAAGTGAGCTTCGAACAAAGCGCCAACATTAAAWTTTGTTTTAAAATTTGTAAAATTCAGATCGGTTAACCATAGCATATAGCTGCCATGCCAACTGAGTGATCGGAATCAAATGCTGCATGGGGAATTTCCTCATTAATTTATGTGGAATATTCATGAAATTGTTTTCTTTGGAACAGACCTTGTATATACAAAACATACAGGAAGAATTTGATAGTGAACGGGTCAATTTTTTCCGAGTTTCAAAAATTTTGATGAAAACTTCATTTTAAAATAAACTGATAGAGCTTACTGAAGTGAGCGAGTACATCATGTAATATTTAAAAATTCATTTACTTTATTATGCAACTTTTAAAGTGTGTATTGATCTGACCAATATGAGCATATACTTTGAAATACTTTTCCGGTCAGCTAGAAACGATATTGTCTGGCAATCAGCCGCTTCAAGCAAAACTTGGCTGTTGCACTCATACTTCTGAGCAGATATGTCAAAGTTAATGGCTCTAGGTTTCAAATAATATTCAAGCTGTATGTAAAMCACTGAGCTTACAAAATATTGCTCCTTCAATAATCTACTCCAGCTTCCATTCTGGGTCACTAGTTTCAGAAGAGTTGTGCCCYTTAATAAAACCCATCTTGTGTACATGACACGACTTAAGGGGTTACATGGGTTTCACAGTTTCAAAAAATCGATTTTTTTTTTGTCTTATCTAAACATCTCTAGAATATTGTCCTAAATTTTCAAGTTGATCCGACAAATAGTTTCGGAGATACAACCTTGAAAAGGTGGACGCTCGAGGTCAGGTACAGGCTGAGGGCGCAATAGGTAAAACTTTAAACGCGTTTTTCTCAAAGCTATGTTTTCAAAGTCGGTTGTCAAGATTTATGGCGAACTACTTAACCGATCTTGATGAAATTTTTTACAGGTCTTCGTGATACAGGGTGGCTGATGAAAGCCGCTACCAAAAAAAAAAATTTAAATAACTTTTTTTTCTATTTAATGAATCTGGTTAATTTTTGCAATTTGCRAAATTTGCATTTTATTTATAAAAACGTTTGCCAAAAATTCAATTTTCATTGTTTTTGTTTTCCTTCGCCCAATACCTAGTTTATTGTTTTTACTAAAACAAGTATTTTTTCTTTCTATTTGAGATGATCCTGAAAGAAGTTCTGCTGACAACGCGGATGCACCTTTTTTCCGAGGGACTGCCGGAAATGGCGTCGTAATGACTGCCATTTTGATATTTTTTTTTCAAATTTTACAAAATGTTTATTAAATATGGGTCTTTTAAGTAAAAAAAAATATCATTAAAATATTTCATTTTTTAAATGTAAAAAAAATATTGATAAAAGGCCTTTTTTGCCCAAGGAAACCCATGTAACCCCTTAATGCGTCATGTCATCGAAGAAGGTGACTGACAGTAAAATTGTCTAAGTCTTTAATAGCTCTCATTAARCCAGTAAACAGTGGAAATCCTGACCTAGGCTATGTAATTCCTTAGTCAAATTGCTAATAAAAATCACACATGTCTAGAGCACTGTCTTGTGACAGCGCAGATTTCCTCATTCATTAATACTGACTTTACAGTGAATAACACAAACATAACAACAATAAAAACAGCAATAAAAATTATTAAGCCAAATAAGTATATAACCTACTTTTCACAACTGAAACATAGAAGCTAAGCGCTGCCAAGCTTTGCGCCTCTACAAACTCTAGACACTTATARCATTAGTTAGGCGCTTTGCTTTCATTGCCGCCGCCTGCAGTTCTAGACTATATATTGCGYTAAACTGTTTTGCATACCAAATTACAGCGAAAGCGCGCCGACTAAGTGCCAGTGATTTCATTCTTATCTTCATTCTAACTTCATAGAAAATTACATTTTTTCTATCAAACACACACTCACACACATACACATGCAAAGGCACTTCTTTTACGTCCACAATAATTTCCAGCTGTAATTTCGCTATTTGAACTTTTCTAAAGCCAGAGCCAAAGAGAGAATGGAAATTATTTGCTGGCACTACTTTGCTTTGTTCGCCTTTTATTAAGCTATGCTTTGTTTCAACTGTTTTCCTTCATTTCGTTTCGTTTAATTTTAATGAACCGAAACAATTTGTTTGAGATAATTTGTTGCTTTCATTCCACTAACTGGCACATTAAAAAATGCAGCATGCAACGCAGAGTGACAAAGAATATACCGTTATATGCAGGTATCCATATACATGTCTGTRCAGGTTCAGAGCTGCAGCGTAAGAAAATGAAAAAAAAAAAAGAATAATTGTCTGAAATGAGCGCGGTGGCAACAGCTTGCAGGATATCCACCTTGGCATAGCGCCTTGGCGTCTGCAACATTCGCTGAATGAATGACACGGAAGATATAAAGGAGAATAAAATAATTTAGTGCCTTGCAGCACGCAGCTTTATGGTTGCTCGAATACAAAAAAAAAATATGTTGAAGAAGGTTTTAAAGGCGTAAGGTGTAACCGAATTCGGGCGGAATTTAAAGCTTTCGATCAGATGTGTTTTATTTACAGTATAAAATTTGAGTTTTAAGTTACAAATTAGGAATTTCTAAGATTCCGAAAAAATCTGCGGAGACACTTTTTTTTTTTTTTTTTTTTTTTTTTTTTTTTTTTTTTTTTTTTTTTTTTTTTTTTTTTTTTTTTTTTTTTTTTTTTTTTTTTTTTTTTTTTTAGGATGTATGCGGTGCCACGCCCTTTTTTTTGTAGTTTCGCTGCGAACCTGCTTTTCGTTTTCGTAACTAGAGTATGAAATAGCAGACTTTAGAAGCGTATAGTTACACAAATATTGCGCTTTGGTGGTTTCGAAAGATACCCTTGACTGAATARCTGCTTCTGGACAATGTATGGACAGACAGACAGGCCTAAATAAAATATTTTAAATGTTATACTATTTCCTCATTTGTGGAAAGCATGTGACTTATTTTTTAAATATTTGAAGCCTAGCGAATTTAATTACTTAAATATAACGGTCTTTTAAAAGTACCGTTATATTTCAAAATTGTTGAACTAATGTATAAATTTGAACTATTTACCACTCTGTTCATTAAAAGAATATTTTTTGTGAATTAAAATCATTTTTTTACAATTTAGAGTTGCCACACTAACTGACAATTCAATCAAATTTAACCAAAATAATTTTTTGTTAACTTAAATTCAAAAATTTATTCTTTCTTCCCCATTTGTAAGAATATTGAAAGCCTAGTGACTTAGTTACTTAAATATAACGGTTTTTTCAAAAGTACCGTTATATTTCAAAAAGTTGAACTGTTGTATAAATATCAACTATTAACCATTTTTCTCATTATTAGAAAATGTTTAGTGAGTTAATTTACCGAAACTCAATTTTTTTCTACTTTAGGGTTGCCACACCGACTGAAAATTCAACAAATTTTACGCAAAATTCTGTTTTGTTGACTAAACTTCATAAGTTTAACCTTGTTTCGCCTATATTTAAAAATATTGTAGGTACTTTGGTACTGAAATATGACGGTTTTTCGAACGTACCGTTATATTTCGAAAAGTTCAAYTCAAGTCTAAACTTTCCACTATTATCCATTCTTCTCATTAGAAAATGTTTAGTGRGTTAATTTAGCGAAATTAATTTTTTTCTGCTTTAGAGTTGCCACACCGACTGACAATTCAGCAAATTTTCCGAAAAATTTTGTACTCTTCAGTTAACTTCATAAGTTTATGTTTATTTCGACAACCCACAGATTTTGCAAACCTTTGCCTCTTTGCCTTCACAAAACTAAATTGCTTTCAACGTGCAACAAGTTGCACAGTGGTATAAATAAGTTAAATAGTAAGTAAGAAGAGCAAGAGATTTTGCAAGCAACATTTTTTTGCGCAAACTGTTTTTTCTCCACCACGTCGTTTACAACATCGGCCAACTGGCCATGCTGCACGTTGAATACGAAGCGCAGCGCATAACGCCGGGTGTCCACATTGCAATGGCAACATTAAGATCTTCCAAATGCACGATTTTTATTTTAATTAACGCAGTAATTACGATTTTCATTCATTTCCTGCAGCAAACCAATTTCCGCTGCGCCGCACTGTCTTGCAACGTCACAGCGCGCACACAAACAGAGAAGGAAAGAGATAGATAGAGAGAGAAAGRGAGAGAGAGGGGRYACAGCTTGCACTGACAATTTACAAATTCGCAGCATTTGCACTTGACATGGCGCTTGCCATTCRCGCTGGCCACCACCGAAGGCAGCCGAGTGGCTTTCAAATGCATTACCTGACAGCTGCAGCGCGAGCATGACAGGCTAGCGAGAGCAAAGAGGCAAGCGCAAAAAGTGGAAGCACGAGAGCAACAGTGCCGACGAACTGATGCGCCGTTAAGAAGAAATATTGCAGTCAAAATTGCGCATTGCAATTGAAATTATTCGCCCGCGTGGAAAAAGCAAGAAACAAAGTCAGCAACAACAGCGAAACAGAGTAGCATTAAAGCAACAACAGCAACAAGATACAAAGAGTGAATAAATTATTAAGTTAGCTAATAGTTGCGAAAGGTTTGTTTGCGCCGCGAAAACGAAAATTGAAAGCAAACATTTTGCTCCTTGGGAGAGGTGAAGTGGGCGAGGGGGATATACATATACCAAAAGCGCTGTTACTTACCTGATTCAATGTTGTGCATGTAGATCTCACGCAGCAGCAACAATTCATCTTCTGGYGCGGCGGACATGGCGCCGAAAGCGTCGTTCTCCGGCCAGACCTCTCTGTAATTAGGAAAATGTTGCAAAAGGAAAGCAACAAAAAATCGTTATTATTATCTTCTTCGTTACATTTGGAAGRTAGTAAAGTGTAAGTAGTTTATTTTAAACTGTAAATATTAACGGAATTGTTTGTTATTAATAAATGAAGAAATCTTTTTGTGGTGTGAAGGAGGCGTTACTTGCCAACCGCAACTTTGAAATTAATTTTCGTTTTTTTTTTCACGTCAGATTCTTCAATTGAATATAATGCCATAAAAGTAAAGGTTTTAGTAAAACTGATATAATAGATAAAAAATATAAAACGTAAAGACTTGGATATTTGAATTCTTCACATAAATTTTGAGGTTATGTGAAAGAAGTCTACACTGTGGCAAAAACTACTTGAAATTGGTAAATAAAAAGCAAATTATTTTATTATTCAGGAAAAAAATCACACCGATCTAAACCTGCTGAGTACGTTTGTTAATTTATGGTATTCTTTGCGTTTTTAATTTCGGTCAAAATCGSGATTCAATGCGATTAGCGCATTATCATTAAAATCTGTGAATTGTACTTCCACAATTCCGTCCTTTTTCGTGGGAATTTTCTCACGCAAAGTCCTCAGTATGGCCAAGTAGAACTGCTTGTTTACCGTCCGTCCCTCCGGAAGAAACTCATAATGCAGCAAACTACGAATATCGAAAAAATAATGAGTATCACTCTGGTTTCGACTGGTTTTTTCACGCCATTCCGCTGATTGTTGACTTGTTTGCATGTCGAACTCATAAATGTGGAATCGGAATTAGCACGATTAAGCATGYCGATGTTTACGGTACTCATTTCAAAAAAACCAAAAAAAAACTAACAAAATAAAACTTCTGCTTTATCAGGACGGATTAAGTAAGAATGCGTTTCATAACTAAAATTTCCGAGASATGCGAGCTTAAACGATGTCTCAGCCGCCTTTGAAAGTGCTGCTGCAAACAAACTGTGTGATACAAGTGGATCGCGCTCATATTTGACAGAGTAATTAAGGACAGTTCTACCAACTTAACAAAATATTTTTTTTTTTTTTTTTTTTTTTTTTTGTTTTCAAATATCATTTATCCGTGGAATTAAAATGGACAGTAGAGTCATATTTAAAAAAAATTTTTTTTTTGCATTTTCTGTTGAATCAATGTAGGACCCCACTTTACCATTGAAGGTTTCGAAAATAATAATATCGCTCGACGCGTTCGGAGCGCTCGGAGTGCACACCTCAAACTTTAACCGCGTTTTTCTCAAATCACACTTTTTTAAACTGGCGGACATGATTCCGGTCAATCTACTCAACCGATTTGCTTAGTTTTTTTTTAATACTCACAAAACGAATTTCTATCGTCTCTACTAGATTCTTAATTTTTTATAATTTATTGACAATGTTATGATAAAAYTTATGTTATTCGAGATAGCAGACCCTCCAAAGATTTCAACTGAACGTGTTAATCATAACATTCACGAATATATGAGGAAGCTCTGTGCAAAATGGATCCTGCGAAAGCTCATATTTTACTAAAAAAAACTACAATTTCGAAGAAAAAAAGTTCGGTTTCACCAAAACAATGTCAAAAAAAAAAGTGTCTCAAACCAGTGGAAACGCGTCAAAAGACTACGAATTGGGCTTCGCATTGCTTCCGCATATACTATAGTCCCCAAATCCGGTCCCGAGCGAATTTTTCCTGTTTTCAGATCTCAAAATAGTTCACTGGGAAAAAATTTTTGTCGTACATAAGAGTGATGCCCAACACGGGACCTATTTTGAAGCAAAGGTCAAATTTGGAGGTTCCCTCTTTTTTTTTTGTTTTTTTTTTGTTTTTGTTTTTTGATCACGCGTGAGTCGTGTAAAGCTGTCATATTGTTTTTATTCAGTAATGTTTGGATTTCATCATAAAACCATCTTACGCATGAATAACATTAGAGCAACCGTAGTTGAGAGTATACACGCAGACCGTAGAGAGTCGATTCAGCAGTCGTTTGCAGCAACTCGGACCGACTTGCCACATTATACATTGAGATCTTAAACCGAAAGCGTACAAAATACAGCTTGTGCAAAAACAGAAGCTGCACGACCTTCCTAAGAGGCATGGCTTCGCTCTATGGGCTTTTGAAAAGTTCCAAGAAGATCCGACATTTTCGAGCAACCTKAAGAGATTGAAGAGCTGTCATTTCATACAGGAAAAACAACGGTTTAGTGTGGTTTGCGGGCTGATGGAATCATCAGTTCATATTTCTTCAAAAATGATGGTGGTGAGAACGTAACCGTCAATGGAGACCGTGCCATGTTAACCGACTATTCGATGCCGTAAATTGAAGTTCATGATCTCGGCGACATTTGGTTTCAACAAGACGGCCCTACTTCCCACACATCGCGTCAATCAATAGATTTATTCCTAACACTGCCGTGAGCAGATAATTTCACGCTTTGGGTCGCTCTCTTGGCCACCAATATCGTGTGATATAACACCGTTATAATATAACGCGATTTTTGCCAGTTAACAGTCGGATGGACCATTTTTGAAAAAGACAATATATATATTTTTTCTCTTCAAAAACGTGGGGAACTTCGAAATCGATGGACCGTTTAGTACTAAAGTGAGTTAGCAGACAAATGAGTCTGGGTTATTTGCAGAAGATTCAGATGTTAGGTATGCGTTGTGTTTCAAGATGTTTGTCTGTGAAGAAATAAATTCCAAAGCTAATAATATTATACATTAGAATAGCATTTAACTACGGTTTAGTCGTTCAACTAGAAAACCGACTTCAGAACGTCATTAAAAATATATGGTGTGTTTACAATACCTTGTTCTATTCACCATGTCGATTAATATTATCAATTCGTACCAATCACTGAAAGCATGAAAAGCGTTCCAAGTCTTAATTCGGATATATGCCTTTTGCACCGATGAGAAGAGCTCACTTTGAGTTATGGCGTCGTAGTTAGTATTAATCGATAGCTAATAAAACAATTTTATTTTTTATTTTTTATTTAAGGATACACGGCAGAATGAAGGCCATGCAGAACAAAATGTCTTTAGCAGATATTGCGTACATACATCCCACCTTTGCTGGCGCCCGCTACAAGCCAAATTGAAAATTGTCTATCACTTTAACTTAAGCGCCTCATAATCAGGTCAATTCAATAAATCCCCACCTCAATGGCAATTAATTTGCAAATTCATTACAAAGACGATGACAAAGAAACGCAAACCAGCCACGCGCACATTGCTGTTTTTGTTTGCATACTGCTGGCAGCGCCTTACGGAAATGAATTAAATGTAAAGCGAATTTATTAAAAAAAAAAAAATTTCAACAACAAAAACGCAACAACAGCAAAGAAGAAGAGCGAACTTCCAGTGAAGAAAAAGTACAACAACAACAATAAAATCACGCAAAGGACAATTAAGTGCATACATTCCGGCATATTACATCGCTATGAGTGTGTGTGTGTGTGTGAGCGAACGGTTGTGTGTGCGTGGGTGTGTGTGTGTCGCGCTTGCAAAAACAGAATGTCATTAATTTGAAATTTCGTACATAAATCCTTATTAAAATTCCATTTAATATGCTCTCAGTAAAGTTTTCAATACAATTAAGCGCCTGCAGTGTGTTGGCGCCGAGCGCAGGCAGTAGCAGCGGTGTAGGGTGTGCGCGTATGTGTATTTATGTATACATATATGTGTGTGCGGCCATGTAGCAGTATTGCAACGCTTGTAGCGGCGGCAGGCGTTGATGTGGCAAGCACGCAGGCGGCGACACGGCAAAGGCGGCCGGCAACCTTGGCACGGCATTAAGACAACTTTGCAATACAAAAAAACAACAACAACATCGACAACAGCTTCAACAATAAAAACAACAGCTCCAACAATAACAACGACAGCTGCAGCGAATGCGCCAATCTGTTCCGTATAAGCGACAAGCGCAACAATAACAACAAGTAGGTGGAAAATGAAATTGATGCATTAAATTTATTCGCTGTGAATGCCACACGTGGCGCAACATGATGCGGCACGCTGTAAGCGATCGAGCAATCGCTTCGCTATTTTAGCTGACGGCATGTGGCATGCAATTACTGTACGCTGTTGCATGCAACGCTGTTGGCGCGAGGTTTTTTTGTTTTTTTAAGCTTGCTGTCCGTCTGTCTAAGCGCCGACAAGACTGTAGGGCGTTCTTGCAGCAATATTGTGGCAACAGTTACAATTCCAGCGTGCCACAATGCCACTGCACAGACCTTCGCGAGCGTTTTCTGTACAGCTGTGGGTAGCTTAGTAGAGACTTCAATAAAGTAAAACATTTTAAAATTCTCTAGAAAAGAAAGCGCGAGCAAAATCGCTAAAACGGCAAGAGTTTCTGTCGTTGCCGAGTTAGTATAGTTTCGAAATTCGGGCCAGCGTCAATATAGCGACCATGTTTTACAGGGTAGAACCCACAACTGGGTTTGTCGGAACTGAGATCTTATGCGAAAGGAGAGAAATATGTTCACTTTATGGCACAAACTTTAGTTTAAGGTTAGCAGTTCATGAGGTACTAACACATTTTTTTCTTTTACTGGGGCTTTCAAGTTGTGAAAAAAGAAATAAATTTTATGGTTAACTCCGTGCTTAATGTTAGTATTTATAGCTACTGGTAATGAATAGGAATGCGTGGCGAAATCTGAACATTCTTTCGTGCAGATCAGATGCCCGCAGAATTGCCTGCTAAGAGGTCTAAACGGCGGAATTAGAAGACTTCGTCTGCTTTGAATCTATAACCCCGACATCACTTAAAACTTAAAATAGTTACAAAATACCTTTAACTTGATAGATCAGTTTGTATACGGCTATATAATATAGTGGCCCAATCGGAACCATTTGTTCGGAGCATATAACGTTGCCCTCAATAATGTTTGTTTTACACCAAATTTCGTGATGATACCTTGTCATCTAAAAACAGTTTTTCATACAAGAACTGATGTTTCATTGATCAGTTTGTATGGCAGACAATGCTATAGT